TAGTCTTTGTTTGGGAGAGAGGGTGTATTTCAGATTCAAGTTACTCCTAGATAATAGACCATACTCGTATTCTTAGAACATGGTCCTCACTCCTAGAATAAGGTCTTTCTGGGGTCTCAATCAAATGTTCAGGCTGTTCACAAAATTTTCTGAACTCTGGCTAGGCTCAAGTCCAGTGTCTTCCCAGGATTCTGCGATCTCTGGAATCTCCACTTATCTTTTAGACCTTAGGAAGCTGCTCTTGTACTAGGTCTCCCAGAGGCTCACCAGACAATGTGCAGCCCAAGAAATAGCCAAGGTCCTAGGGGCATTTCTATGCAAATCTCTGGAGTTGTCTCTCTGTGGCTATCCTCTGGGACACTCTAACCTTCTGAACCCAGCTGCATTAGTAGCCTTGAATTCTAATTTCTTATTGTTGTGCAGGCTCCACTTTCATGGGCTGAGGCCCTCAAAATGCCCCCAAGGAGAAAACATGGGTGAATGTGGGACTAAACTCAAGTGTATTCCCTCTGTCAGGGATTACAGTCCTGCCTTAGTTGTATTCCAAGGCTTCCAAATACCTATATTATATATTTTGATTAGCTTTTATAGTTGTTCCCTATCAGAGGGACAGTCCAATCATGGCCCAAATCAGGCTTTTCCTTGCCTAATATTGAACTAACTAAGCAAAAACAGCAGTAAATACCCCCCTCTCCCCAACACACACACACACACACACACACACACACACACACACACACACACACCTCAGTCAAATAATAATCATTAGCAGCAACAAAACGAGGGAAGGGGCATGATTTCTTGCCATAAAACTTCAAAATAAAACTTTTAAGGACATAAAAGATCATGGTATAGACCACCATGTCTTCCAGAAGTAGAATTGGTGAGTCACCAAATCCTGAGGATTCTTTCTCAACAATAATGAATACCTCCAAATTTGGAATGCATTAAACTGAGCAACTATTTTTATCCTTTTGTGGCAGGAAGAGGGGACAGAGAGAGTAGTTATATAATGAAAATGGCTTAGGGCTCCAAGAATGAAGTGGGGGGGAGCCATCTCAAGCCTGAGGGAATCTTTTCTTTGGAACTTTGTCTGATCCTGATTAGATCCTGGTGCAGGGTCTTTAATAAAACCTCAGAGAAAAGCAGATCATGCAACCTTTAACAAAGCCTGCACAGAGATTCAGATGATCTCTCCTCTTTGCTTTATCATCTCATCTTAGGAGTTTCACAGAGTGAAATGCTTATCCCTCAAACCATTGCTTCAGAGACACAACAAACAGGTCTCAGATACGGTAGGAACAGGGTCAAGTAGAATTCACTTATTATGTATCACAGAAAATATATCTGATTAGAAAATAAGCAATATAACAAATGCAAAATATGTAGAAAAAAGGAGGGAAGGATCATAGTAAGCAAAAGTAAGGTAAGTACAAAATAAAAACAACAAGGAAAGGAAGAGATGAGTATTCTTAGTTATACAGCACAGCACCTATAAGACCATGAAACATTACTCAATGAAAAAATAAAAGGACTAATCACAATAAAGAATAAGTAATAGAAAAACTGCAGTAAAATAATTAAATTAGTGTATCCCATTTAAATATAGAACTAAGCTTAGGCCACTTTGGAAATTCGAATTACAAAGCAAATGCAAATATCATAAATCTTGATGAAGAATAAATAAAAGTATAGGAGGAACGAAGGGGGAAAGAGAGGCATAAGAAGAGAGCTAATTTTTTTTAAATAGTAAGAAGTCAAATGATATTGACTAAAACAAATATATGGCTAAATATAAACCATATATATATAACCATATAAATATAAACAAATATATAGTTAAACATAATGTATTCAGATCTGAGTTTATGTAATAAATTTAACTTTATAGGAATTTTTAGGATAAAATATCTCATGAAGTAAATAAAGACCTAAAGTTCAGTCACCTTTAAGGTTCACTTTAATTTCTTTATATTCTGTTTAATTTAGTGTATTTTTAAATTAAAAATAGCATTTATTTACTTTATTTATTTAAAATGGTATGAGAGGGCCAGCCAAGTGGCACGTTGGTTAAGAGTTGGCTTGGGATGCCAGCTCTGAGCAGCAGGACCCCGGTTCGGATCCCACATGATGAGGGCCAGTGACACTGCGCCCTCTACAGCTAAGATGGTGAACAACAGCTCAACCTGGAGCTGGGCGGCTGTGAGTCGCCGGCGACCGTGTAGGCTGCAGTGGAGCTGCAGTGGGCTGCCATAAGCTACCATGAGTGGCTGGAAGCCCCTGTGAGCAGCCGCCCAGTGGCCGGCTACCCATCTGCCTCAGCTGGAAAGAGTGCAATGATAATACCAAGAGTATATAAAGAGTGCAATGATAATGAACCAGTGGAGCAACGTCCTCCACAACTAGACTGAAGAACAGAAGGACAGCAACTCGTCTGTTCCCCTTCCCTGATTCCCCAACGCTGTTCCCCTCCCCCAATTCCCCAATCAAATCTTTAAAAAAATAAATAATAAATAAGTAAAATGATATGATAGCACTTAGCATATCCATCTACCATTTAGCACATCTATTGCGTCTTCTATGTTCTACAGATTCTGGAATTATTGTCCTCTCATGATAACAATGGTTATTTCCGAATACTGTGATTTTGGGGGTGATTTTCTACTTTGCTTTGTTCCTACTACGTGAATTATTTACGATAAACGTGATTAACACTATAGACACACATACACACAATTCTAGTTTTTAATGTTCTAGGGTTATACCGACTCTTCATCTACCGGTTTTGTGTTAGAAGTTTTAGCTGAAGCCTAAAGCCAGGCTAAGAGACTGGAGCATGACAAGACCTCTAATTAGATAAGCATGGCAAAGTGGGAATTGCAACTTAAATCTCTGTAAATACGAGATATGTGTCTATATATCTACATATCTATATCATCTATCTAGCTACCTATGTATGTATTCATAGATGTTTTGTATTAAACCCTTCCATGCCTACATGAGTTGCTCGGGAAAGAAGTTAATGTGAGACATGAGCATCTTACTGCTACAAAATTCTATGTAATTGGATTTCTATAAAATTCTACATAATCAACCTGGGCAATTCTTTCAATATACCCAGCTTCAAAGACTCCCTGCCTGCTGAGACATGAAATCTCTTTTCCAGGCCTCTTTCCTGAACTTCAGACCCATATGTTCAACTTCTTACTGGCTATTGCATACCAAATTCGGCATGTAGGAAAATCAAACTTCCCCATCACAATTTGTTCTTTCTCCTCATTCTACTGTTTTTTGAATACCCACTATGTGTCAGGTACGATGGTAGAGGCTGGAAATACAGAGATATACACTATATATCCCTACACCCAGGTAATTCAGGTTTAACGGAGAAGACAGAAATAAACATGAGTACAATGCAGACACAATGATAGATAACAGGGTGCTATGAGACAAAGAATCAGCCCACCTGATCCAGGTGTGTGTTGCAGGGAGGGAGATAGCTTAGTGATCAGGGAAGTCAAACAGGATAAAATTTGAGCTTTCTCAAAGAATTAGCTGAACAACTCCTGCACAGGCAGGCAATTCCCCCATCGGCCACCCATCTAGCTCCTCCATTCAGCCTGGCCCAAACTTGTGGCTGTGGTACATCTCCAGGTCAGCGCTGGCCCTGGAAACTGCCTCCCTGGCTACATCTCTTCCATCAAGGTCACGCAGCAGATTGTTCATTTAGCCTTAGGCCCCTGTCTGCTCAATATTAGAGGCCACTTGCTATCTTGTTAAGAACACCCAAATTCTTAAGGAAAAAAGATAGCATAGGTGTTTCTGCTCCTTGGATAGTCTTTGGCAAATCATTTAACTTCTCGCAAACTCACCTCTCATCTGTGAAAGTCTAACAATTGCAAATACTCAAGGGAGGGTGTACATAAAAAGTGAGGTGAGAGGTGAAAGCAGGTGTAGCATATAACAACTATTCATCATCTTTGTTAGGTTTTCACTGTGATGGAGTATGACTTTGATTCAAATATTATACATGCTGATCTTGTCAGGAGGATGTGAAGCTTTTGGAACTTTCTCAAATATATAACTATAAATTTCCATTGAATTCAGTTTTTATGACCCTTCTAGCAGCTCTCAGTCTCCCATCCGTCCTAGACTTCATTCCAACAAGATACTAGCCTTGGGCAAGTTATTTATCCTCTTTCAGTTTCCTCTTGGGTGTCATGGAGATAATTAAATGTACCTCAAAGAGATGTTGTGAGGCTCATTTGAAGTCAGGAATAGAAAATACTACTTAGTGATGCTTTCACACGCCACATTTTAACTAAGGAAAGAGGTCCTTGTGCGAGAGCCTAGAGGCGGGGGACTGAGCAAGGGTCAAGGGGAGCCTGACTTGGGCGCAGCACAGAGAAGGAGGACATTCCACGCTCTCGGTGGGGAGGCTGTACCGCGGGAAGAGCCGGTTCCTGGCCCCAGTAGGGGTCGCCGAAGCGCCGCACTGCAGCATCCTGGCGGCGGACGCCGCGGCCTCTGCCAGGCTAAGCTCGCGTCCTGCCGCAGTCCCTCGGCCGCTAGCGGGAGCGAGCACGAGCGAGGAGACCCCTGTCCGTCCGCCCATACTTGCTGCTGCTGCCGCCGCTCCCACCCGCAATCGCAGCAGGAAACGCAGCCTGCACCCTGGGCTGTGCCCCGTGGGAAGGTTTTGCGATCCTAGGGACCGATTCTGAACTTGCAGGGGACTGCGGCTGTCCTGGGCCTGGAGAGTGCGAACAGGTGAGTGTCACGCACGTGCCCAGGTGGCTGTTTTGGGATGACTTCCTGCAGACCCTTCTGTGCCCCTGAGCCCTTGGCTTCTGGGTTGTTCCTCCTGGCCACTGGGTCCCTCCAGGGTGGCTCTGGGGTTCGCTGTGAGGGAGACGTGAGCGCGGGCGCTCAGAGTTTGACAGCTCCCTCCGAGCTAGAACGGAGAATGCCCTATGACTTAGGTTGCATTTGTCCTCTAGGCTGAGAGCAAGTGACCAGCAGTCAGTCCCCAGTGGGCTTGTTTTTCATTCCAGGATACCTGTTGCTTTGGGAGCAACGCCATAGCCAGGGGTCTTGAGCAGTTATCCTCGTCGCTGTGGGTGGTGTATTGTAAGATGAGGGAGAATTTCTGGTAATGAGACCAGGAAAACTTGATTTCAGAGCTAGAGAAGGAGCGGCCCAGAGAGAATCTCATTCCCACGACCAGGCTAGATTATTTGCTTCCCTAAACAGCTGCACTTTATTTTAATGATAAATACAGAAGTTAAAAAAACTATTACCTTATAAAGACACTCGCTTTTTTTTTTTTTCTTCCCAAGAGGAAGTGAAAAGCATGGGCCTTGGTAAGTATAGTCTTCAGAATAATTTGTTATGAATAAAACCTTTCTTTAAATAAAATTTAAAAATCAGGTTACTAGTGACCTAAATGTCACAGGTCTAACAGATGGTCAAGTCCTGGAAGGTAGCCACTTTGTGTGTATTTAGCATAAGTGTGGAATGAATCAGTCACTGCATTAAGAGTAACATAAGATTTGGAGGCTAACTTCTTTTATTTCTTCTTTCTAAGCTTTCTTTTAGTCCCTTTATGTTCAGAAAAAAATAAATCACCATACCTTTAGTCTCTTAAATATATAAGTGTGATTTTAGCTGTAGGAGTAATAGGGACTCAGACGTTTTTGTGCTAATAAAGTACTGTGCACATAAACAATGAATGGCAATCTAGACTCAGCCAGAATATTTCTGCACAACAATATTAAAGCAAATGTATTTTTTAAAGTCCATGTTCTGGAAGGCCTGGATTTATGAATTATTTTGAACATCAGAAATTTGGCAACAGTTCACTTATTACAAAAATTTGCACACTTACCTTTTTTATCTTTGTCAAATGTAACTTTTCAGTTTCCTGTGAGAAATAAAATGTTGAAGTACATAAGTCAGTTTTTGTATTCCTTTAAGTGACTTTTCTAAACATGACAGAAGATTGACAATAACCAACTGTACCTTTATTAAGTTATAAATGAAAAAAACAACCCAAACAATTTGTCTTTCTTATGTGAAATTCCTATGCTTCTGAGGCCATTTGGGAGTTACTGAAATATTTGACCTAACAAATGTGTGTGTGTGTTTGCTTTTTTTAAATCATTTTTTAAGGCTACTTTCATGTAGCATCAATCAGATAATTACTTAGGTTTTATGTGCACAGGAATGGACAATTTTACATGAAATAACAAATTGTTTATACACTCTCTGGACACTTTCACCGACTATGTTTTAAAGAAATTCCATTATTATTTAGAATTTGTGTAGTTAATATATCTCCATATATCATGCTTCTGTGAAGCTTCTGTGATGAAGCACTAAACAAAGAGGGCTTTTCTTAATAAATGCATATAAAATGACAAATAAGGAAGTCCTTTTATCTTTAGCCAAAATATGGGACTGGACAAATCACAGATGTTTAGCTTCTGGGTTTTGTACTATTAATGATTACCAAGAAGATTTTTCATTATTGGGAATGAAATAAACAATAGCTAATGTTAATGTTGAACTTTTCATCTTTCAGAGGATGCTCTGGCACTTTGGAAATCATCAAATACAAAATTTGTTAGGTGAACATACAACACGATATATAGATGATGTATTACAGAATTGTATACTTGAAACCTATGTAGCTTTACCAACCATTGTCAGCCCAATAAAGCTTCATTAAAAAAAAATTTGTTAGGTACAAATTGGTGGCTTAGATGAATAATGATGAAAACAGTATGTGTTCATGTCTTTGTAGAAATACTTTTCAGAAGGATTCTTGCTTTTATCTTTCACTCGAGATGCTGTTTTTAAAAACGTGTAGATGACAAAACGCTGGCAGGAGCAGTTGACATGTTAAGATAACAGATTTGTGTCTTGAAATTATCTTTACAGACTGGAAAAAATTGATGAAATGAAAGCTGACGTGATTAAGTTTAATAAGGATAAAAGTGAAGTCTTGTATTTAGGTTTAAAACATTGATGTGGAAGTTCAGACAGGGGGGTCTGCAGTTCACACAGAGGACATGAGCCTTCATATGAGTGGCCATGCAGTAATACAACCACAGTGCCCAGATAAAGAATAGGGAAAACCTCCGTGATCTTTGGCTGGGTCGTTTTGTCAGGTCAAACCCCAAGTGTTGAATGCAGTGGGTGTCATGTTTGTAGAGTGATTAAAACGGCAAGTGCCAAAGGAGAGAGCTGCATATGGTGAAGAAGGAATGTGAAGGTCAAAAACCATAAACAAGACCACACATCCCATGAGGAACAAGGGAAGATGCCGCGGCCTCATTTACCTAGAAAGTAGAGCCTAGCATGGAGCAAAGGGTCCTCATAGTGGCTAGGCTAACTTGAAGGGCTCTGAGTGAAAGAAAAGAACAGGCTGACTTCATGCCTCTCCTCCCTCCTCTATACAAGAAAGTGGTAAATTAGACACAGGATGGTTGTTGGATGGTTGTCTGATCGAAAGGAAAGATTCCTGTGACAGCTGGAGGATTTCTTCGGTTGACCCCAAGGGTCCTTCCAGCTGTACATCTCCATGGTACTAAGAACCTAGGTGTCAACCCCAAAGCACCCATCTATATAAAATGTGCCTACATTGTATATAATGTAATTTCCCAAGATGTTAGGAAAATACCATAAACTAATGTGCTTGATGTTGTCATAGAAAAGGAATCAGAAGTCAGGGAATGGCATTTATCTTTTGTGTACCAGGGCGCTGTGCCCAGAAAAATATAAAAATATGATCTAAATGTTATGTATCAATTCCTGGAATATGCGTATCTGTCACATGAATTGATCATGTGATATAGTGTGAACTGAGATCAAATTTAAACCTTGAAATACAAACTCAGTTGTATTGCATTGGGGTTCACTAATATGAATGTATATTATTCAGCCCAAAGAGAAATAAAGAATTCCAAATGTGACTCTCCTCATCACATGTTTGTATATTGGATGTTTACAGACACAGGGTAAATACATGTATTTATATACTTCAAATATTTATCAATTACTGACAAAGAAAATGCTTTCATAAAAAATTCTTTCAGAAAGTACTTTAGAAAATGCTATTGCATGTGAAAATGCATGTTTTAGAACCAAAACAGATCTAAGTTCAAGTCTTGGATCTGTCATTTAATTAGCTGAATAGTTTGCAGTAAATTACTCTGCAAGAATTGTAGTGAAGATCAAAATGGAAAATGTTGATAAAGCTGAATGATGGCTGGCATATTTGAGATGCTTAACAAATATGAATTCCTTTTCCAGTCACATATGAATTTCCAAATATCCTTTGTTTTAGGGTTGCAGATTTACAATGATATGGTGAACCCAAAGGCTGAAACCAAAACGATTTTCTCAGCTCTTTAATTGGAACGACAGTGAGTTGTCTACCAAAACCCAGCATGGCTAAAAGTGCAGAGGTCAAACTGGCAATATTTGGAAGAGCTGGCGTGGGCAAGTCAGGTAAGTTGTGTTGTGGTTGTTTGAGTGTCTGTGTGTCTGTGTGTATGTGTGTATCTTTGTTACTGCCTCCTGGGATTGGGCAGGAAGGTGGTTGGCATTTCTCATATGATCATGTGTTGTTCTTTTAGATGAAGTCTCTTTCTCTTTATCTAGAAGTTTTATTTTGCATAACCAAGATTTATGTATTCTTGCTTATTTATGATAAAGTAGCTCTGTTGATAATACATAAGGCAATGGTTTATGTATCATAGATTTTTGTACTCTGAGGAAAGATATTAAACAAACCTCTAAGAATATCAGATTACGAAAATTAAAAATATTTTTGCTCTTTTTTCTGTATCTGAGATCCTGAGGGGCCAATTTTATATCTCATTCATCTTGATATTCTCAGCAACCAGCTCAAGGTCAAGCATGTGTCGGGTGCTTGGTAAATACTTGTTGAATGAATATATCTTTACCAGAAACAGAATTGCATTATTATTCAACACTTCTAAAATTGGGAAGGACTGGTGAAAACTTAGAGTGACGAAGCAAGACAACTGTTGCCAGGGCCTCCGGGGTGAATTTAATTATCAAAATTTGGCTCACATTCATAATTCTCACAAAGTAATAAAGGCTTTTTTATTCCCCACCTAAGAAAATGCTTGCAGACCTTTGAAATTAAGGGTGAAATGGTGAAAGTGAAGATGTATCTAATCCAATTTGAAAAGTAGATCTCAGATTTTATAATTAAAGAATACTGAAGTAGATGTTGCTAAAATGTCAGGGCAGCATGGCTTTTCAGATGGCGTTGCCTGGATCTCTTACTGGAGGACAGACCTGTAACTGACTTTGCACGTGGAGCCTTTGGTTCTTAGGAAAGGACTCAGACAGTTATCTAGTAGGAGTGTGTGTGTATAGAGGGAAGCCTGTTGGGATCATCCCCTACAACAGGTAATCCACATAATCTTAAATGAACTCACACAAGCAGATTTTAATTCTGTGATCGACCTCTCTTTCCTAACCTGCTTTCTGCTTTCATGGCAGCAGTAAATCTTAACTATTCTAAATCTTTCCCTCTTTTTTCTTTCAATTTTCTCAAGGGTGTTCTTTTCTGCCATCACCCTTTTCTTCTGCTTGCTGCTTGCTCTTGCCTCTGGCAGAAACTAAACAAAGATAATAAATAGTCAGCAAGGCTAAGAAACTGCCAGCCTGCAACAGATTGAAGATAGTTAAACTCCTCCCCATTAATCTCCTCCGTGTTTCCTGGTAGCGTGAGAACCTAATTTCTGTCGCTGGTGGAAGGATCTGGAGAATGAGGAAACTGTTCCAGTGAGTGCAGGATGAAGGCACTTGGGTATGTGGGAAGGCCTGGGCTGCCAATAGGGCTCATCTAAGTCCTTCGTGAGTGAAGGCTGTAGGCCTGGAGCTGACTGTTTACCATGCATTCATTCATTCAAAACTTACCATAGGCAATAAGAGAAGGGCATTTTTAACCTCAAATCATTTACCAAAATAAATTCCACGTGGTTTGAAAAGTTAAAAATTCAATTGAGAGAACCACTTAGCAGTATGTGTACCCATCTCTTTCCCATCTATACTCCCTTGGTGCAACCTGTATACTTTCTGTCAAGGTTGACCCATCAGCTTGAGCTTTGTCCCCAGTTTCCTTTGTCTTCCCCCAAATTGTTTCAATTATTCTTCTCATTCTCTACCGACCATTTTTCCTTAAACATTTCTTTGTCCGCTGCTTCATCTTTTCCCTTTTCTCCAAGTGTATTGAATGGAGGCTCTATCCTTAATGTCAAAACTTTTTTTTTTTTAAATTCCCATTCATTGCGTAAAACATGGCAACCTTCCACTGCACTCATGCTATAGAAACTACTTTTGCGAAGGTCACCATCGATCAATAACGAACAAACATAATGAACTTTTCCAAGTTCTGGTCTTCTCAGGCCTCTTGTTGCCATTCAACACAACCATTTATTCTAAAACTCCTTCCTTCTCAGGATCCAAGGCCATCACACTTCTGGGCTTTCCTGATTACTCCACATTGTCCCTAACCAGCAACCTTCATGGGCTCCTAACCATGAGTCTTCCTCGAAAAACTGCCCCGCCCCCACAGGTTCTACATAACATCCTCTTGCTTTCTCACTCTATATGCTCTCCTGGGGGCTAAGGAGAACACCAGCCCAAGAGCACAAGTTCTGCTGACCTTGGCTTTATGTAAAATGCAGAAGCTGAACTTATTCACTAAGGTCCCTGCTAACTCTAAAATTCTATCAGTCTTGATTATATACAGACTTGAACTTCTTTGGACTGGTTTTTCCATCCACATTATATCCATCCTACCACTCATATTTATTTTCATTTAAGCAAAATGACAATGACAGACTACACGCCTTTAAACAATTGCCTTTTGTCTGTCATGTATGCACAGATCGTGTTTTCTTATTTCAACATTAGACTATTCTCCTGAGACCTCGTAACCACACCCTCACATTTCAAAGTCTGACTACCAGTTTGACATACCCATGGGAGACAATTCTGAGACCTGCACCCACAGCTCAGTAAAACCAACCACAGAGTACTTCATATCTATCAAATTTGAAACCAGATTGTAGTGAGAATTTATGTTTATTCTAATTCTTTGTTAAGGTAGATATATGATGTCTCTGCCTAACCATTGTGCCACATGTCCACTTTCTTATTGCACAGACTGTATCAGTCTTACTAGTAGGTTTTGTTTTTTTAAGCCTGCAAGAAATTGTACCTGCTGGAATTCAACTGCAGCTCCTTGCTTACTCATATGCCTACCCCCAAAAGGGACATGATCTTTGTGGGGAGTTAAACAATCTGTTTCTCTCCAAACACCCAGCACACAGAGTATGCCTCGGGAAACCAGCTTGAGACCTGGGAGTGATAGAGGCTGAGTGTCTCTGCTTTGACTTGGGTCCGTGTGAATTGCATCAGAGGCCTTAAGTCTTACCTGTCTCACCCACTTTGCCCACACTCAATACCAAATTGGAATGTGGGTCAATAAGACCATCTTGTCCATTTACCTAGAGTCAAAAGAATGAGCTGTTTGACTCCCAAATCTATACTTATTAGCTGTGTGAACTTGGCAACTTTGGCAAGTTATTTAACTTCTCAATTTCCTCAACTATGAAAAGCATATAACAGTGACTGTCTCAAAGAGTTGCTGTTAGGATTGAATGAGTTATTACACAGATGGTTACTAGAATAGCACCTGACACACAGTATGTGCTCAAGAATTAGATTGTATTATAATTTTTTTGAGTTATGCTTATTTTAATTTGTAAGTTATTTAGTGAAACAATCAAAGATATATTTACATTCACATGGATATTTGGGTTTTTAGTAAAAGTCAGAAATTTTATAAGATGAAAATTCTCTATTGCTACTCAGCACATCCAACACACACACACACACACACACACACACACACACACACACACACTTTCTGTCTCTCTTTTTCTCTTAAATCATCTGGTTAATGTCAATTCAACTTGACTGCTGATGATCATAATACTTCTCGTGGCTTATATCTGGAAAATCTTGGAAACAGACAGAAATATGTGAGTGTCATCAATAAATTAACGCCCTTAAATTTAAAGTGCTTCTGGTGTGTAGTAGACAGCTTCCTAAGCCCAAGTAATAGATAGGCCCTCTATGTTTAAAACAGAATTTAACATTAACCAGAACTTTCTGTTTGATGGGTAGACCATAGAAGTGTATTGCAGGCAGAATTTAATAATGTGTCTGTTACTAAGAAACTCTGATAAAACATGTGAGGGGTGTGTGCGTGCATGAGCGTGTGCATGCCAGTGCACACGTGTCAGTATTTACATGGTCATTGGTATTGGGAAGATTCTTCTTCCTTCTGTCTGATTTTACCTTGCAGTTCCATCTTACAGTGAGCTTGCTTGCTGGATTAGGGAGCTTTGTGGCTCAGCCTTGTGGGAATGCTGCTGCAAAGCACAGAGCCCACAGATTCCCAGCCCATTCCTCCTGCTCCTGCCCCATCAGGGCCCACGCTTACCTTCACTGGCTAAGGGTAAAGCCCTAATAACCTGGCATGTAGGACGCAGATTTCCTTACTTGCGTGTGTCAGCCTATACTTTGACAGGCATCAAGTAATTAAAGCAATAAAACCTGCCATAAAACCTAGAATGCACACCACATTTATTTAAATGCTTCCTGGATACATATTATTAAAATTTATAGTGAGTGTAGGAGGGGCTGAGAGAAAAACAGCTGAGGTTTTACATTTAGTTTCACAGTTGACATTGTCATTTTAGAACTGAAATATTGTGTGCCATAGTTAAATATATTTCTTGAAAGGGCTAGCCTTTCTCAAAGTTAATTGAGTAATGCTATCCTCTAATTCAAAGCCAATTGATGCAGTCATCCATGAAGGCTTAAGTTTGTAGACTCAGATTGCTGAGCTAGAAATTGGGTGCCAAACACAAACAAATTGTGATACTTTTTCCCTTCACACAAAGAGAAGTGATTTACCTTTTCCTCCCTTTTCTTGTCCTTGCCTGCTCGTGCACCCTCACTCTCAATTATAAAAAGTTTTTAAAACGGTTTTCATCTTATTTTCAAGGAGAACAGGGACAATTTTGATTTTCAATATGACTTTTCCAATGAACATCAAATGCTGCTGTCATATATACATGTATTTTATGGTTGAGGTATGTTGATGAGATCTCATATAGTCTCATATATATTAAATAAAAATAATATCAATAACATCTTAGGTAGATTAGTTTCTTTATGTTATGTTATAAAACTAACCTTTGTGTTAGAATTTTTCCTCTACTTACGTAGCTATAAACTAGTTTGTTCCCTCCACTTAGACTTAACGGTGTAGTATGATACTTCTTGGACATTGTTTTCAAGGTACTTCTAAAAAAAGAGGAGGAAGATTTAGGGTAATTGGGGCATGTAAGAATCTGATTACAAGCATCTCATTACAATTGTGTAGTTATTTTGCA